TAAATAAAAAGGTTTCTGATTATCTTTCTCAGAGATAAGTTTTGAGTAGGTGTATAAATTGATATCGAAGTAATGTTTACAGGGCGAAAAACACTTGCTGCTGTGAAATTTTTGTAACTTCGAATCATTTTTTCTCGAAGACATTTATATTATATATGTCTTCGAGACATTTATATTATATATATCTTATACTATATTTAGTATCAAAATCGATGAAATTTCCTAACCTGCGTTGGCATCGAAAATCTGAAACAAACTGAGCTATAAGTTAGGCAGAAATGAAAGGTTAAAATAGAGCAATTCAAACAAACAAGCAAATAGTTATTTAATTTTATTTTAGTTATGCTTAATCATTTATGTAACAATTTAGATCTAAATATTTTAGTTTTACTAATGCTTAATCTTTAGAACTGGGAGAAAAATCGTAAACTTAGATCAACCTCAATACTTTTTTTTTGCTGCTCATACTTTTTTTTTGTTGATCCTAGTAATTTTACAAACTTTAGTACTGTGATTTTTTTCATTATCCAAACTTTTTCATTAGTTTTTATACATTTTACGAGATTAGGTTAGAATAAAGGATTTAAATCTGTTTTATCTCCAAACGATGTAATTTATAATATAATTGTGTTTATAGAGACATTCTATGAACTATTTGTTTTAAATGCAATTTCCAATTAGTGTTGAAAGGAACTATTTAGAAACTAAATCATAATGTAAATAGATTGAATGAAGTATTTATAAATCAAGTTTGATGATGTGTATACATTGCAAATTTTTAAGACTTTATTTTAGAAACAGAAGCATCATACATAGAAAGTTTGACACAAAAATTCATAAAGTATGTAAAAAAGATACTTTCTCTATAAAGATAGAAAAAAAGTAGCATTTTCTTTCAAGACTTCTTTGATAATGTTTAACTTATTTGTGTTTTGAGCTTCTAAACTAATTAAATGCATTATTACTAAAATACTCAAAGCACTATAGTTTTTACTCTTTGAGATAAAAGATTGTTGCTCAATTCAAATAGTGTATGTATATACACATTCCAGTTACGTGTATATAAGCGTGTACGTTCCTTTACAAAAACGATGATTCAAACAACCTCTAATATGTATAATACGATTGAATGTAAAAATTTGTTGTCTTGCATTTTTTATACTTTCGCAGGAGACCAGGATATTTTTTTGTGTTTTTTTTGTTTCAAAATGTTTGGCAATGTCCTTATTTAGTAGAGGAATTAGTAGAGGAATATTCATTGTTTGATGGTGCTTACTTACTAATACCACAAAACAAGAGTATCATTTGTAAGCTATTTAATGAATATTAATATAAAATGTGTCATTCATATTTTATGTTTCAAAATTCATATTTAATTTCTTTCAAAACTTCATTTTAAAATTCATATTTTATGAAGAACTAATTGTTCTTTGATGTTATGTAGTTGGAAAAAATATTGTCAGACAGAATTTTGATTGTGTGAATAATAAATTTGACGGCCGGTGGCTGAGCTGTAGCTCTACGCGCTGTCGTGCCACAGGTCCCTGGTACGATCCTCGGGCCGGGCAAGGTTGACTCAGCCTTTCATCCCTTCAGTGGGTCGATAAATGAGTACCAAGCATGCTTGGNTCATTATTAAAAGCGGAACATCTGCTCCTGCACCCCAGAGCCCAAGGTCAAGAAAACTGAGATGGGCACAGTAGGCCTTGGTCCTCTATGGGCTATCGCGCCGCTGAGTTTAGTTTAGTTTAGAATAATAAATTTATCAACAGATTTTTTGCATTGCATATCTGCAATGTCAACTTTTAAGGTCGTTGGGGAACTTTTTCAGTGGTAGCAACTCTTATATTTAAAAGTATAAATCTTAATATTTAAAATTAAAAAATCTTATGCTTTCCCCGAAAAATTAGTAATTTAATCAGGTCTGTAAGTTGGACAGTTATGCTCCTATACGCTTTTGTTATATGTAATTTTGACGAGTATTTTATAAAAATATATTCCCAAATTACTACATGCTTCATGTTTTGCTTGATTTACAATGAAATATTTTTGCAATTCAACCCTGAACTTAATGCCTTCCTTGTTTTTTCCCTCTTTTGATTTCGGTTTGTTTCCGCAAAAATAAAACTTCCTTCATTGTTTTTATCAATATAAAACAGCCGCTTAATTTTTTTAGGTGTTGTTGCACATTAAAGATGGTGATAGAATCATCATTCACAAGGCAGATTGTGAAACAATCAACGATTCTTATTTTTAACATAATCTTCTTTTTAAATATCTCTTTCATATAAATGTTTCGTGGTCCAAAATCGTCATATTTTCACCTAAATTTGATCAATACTAGAATCGCATAGATATATTTTTGTTATCAAGGTTTTTACTTTTATCAAGCTTTTTATTGGGTTAATAGTTAAAAATAATTGAATGCCTACTAAGTTGAATCATTATACTAATTTGCACATAATTTCATAATATTTTTTAGAGAACCTATCTTAAAACTAACTTCAAGTTTTTGACGGTCAATCTTCAACAGGACGACCTACAATCCAAAGAAGACAAGGAAGACACTAATTATCTCCCTTTCAACATGCCGTATGATTAATTTTTGACCATCTGACCTTGACTTATTAAAGAGACCTAAGTCTTTTGTTTCCTTTAATCACTCAAAGAAAAAACACCCCTCCGAGAAAAACAATGATTGAAGAGCACGCAAGATATAAGGGCAGAAACTAATTCTTTGTTGATCTGCTCTCCTTTGATTAAAATTGATAACGTCACTCTAATTACCGTTGAGTTTTTAATAAGCGATTTGTTGGTGTGTTATTATAGTGTTAAAGGAGTCAAGCACAGATCACAAATAATAGGAGTTGTTGGTTAAACATATTGAGATGTATTTTTTTATTTAGTAGCGTGTAACCCAGAAGCAAATTGCACGAAATACTCATGCATTTTGTTGTATCAATATAATAAATTTTCAGCGCCTAATTTGCAGTTTCGATACATGATGTGAATAACAAAACGATTGGTTTTTTGAACTGCTAGAAAATGTAAGAGGATCTGGCAATGCTCAATAAAGAAAAAGTTTAGTGATTAAAAACGAACATATTAGTACCGATTGTATAAATAGATTAAAATATTTATCCGGAAACAGGTAAAATAAAACAGCTACATAAAATCCTATTGGTTACTAATAAAATTATTGCATGGAAAAAAAATTCTAGTAAAATTAGCGCACTGTATGTTAATGACATTTTTTGCAATAAAACCCCCCCCATAATTCTGGTTAATAAAAAAATATATACAGTATTTCAACCATTCATTTATTGATTTTTTGTTCATTATGATAATGGTTTACTGAAAATTATTTTGGTTTTCAAAATTATAGTTTTTATTAGCACACATTTCGTAAAAAATACGAAAGTGATAAAATGAATTTAACCGAATAAATGGGTTTTACGCAATACTTTGAAGTATCATGATAAAATCACCAAATTTTACCACAATTATCACATTTTATCACGTATTATAAAGCCATATTTTATTGTTAATTTTTAACAAAGTAATTGCCAAAGCGCATAGGTAAAAATTACCGAATCTTTTGGTGCTCAAATAGAGCCAGAAACACGGTGAATTTTACCATATTTTGATAGTTTTGACCATACTTCTCAGTGTGAGATGGCACACTGTAAGCAATTCTGATGTATAGTTGCCTTTTTTTTTAGTGTTGAGGTAAACTTAACACATTTTTAATTAAGGAACTGTACTTATCATGCAAAACATTATCTAAAATTGGCAAGCCGCAATTGTTTGAAAGAATTTGTCTGAATTAACTAAAAATGTGATTATTTTTTAAATGAAATGTTTTTTCAATACAGTCATGAATTATTTCTGATACGCATGATAATATGTGTTGCCAGTAATTAGACAAACAAAAATGAATAAATAATTAAAACTGTAACATTGAAAAAGTAAATAAAGAGTGTGACTACATGCACTGTAAAAATTTTAATTTGCCTCAACACCAAAACTATACACCAAAATTATTTGCGGTGTAAATTAACGTAAAGAACTATCATGTTTTTATTTTTAAATAGTCTTTCACATTTTTTACGCTTGAAACTATAAGAATAAGAATAAGAATCGCTGGAAGACAAAGAACGCAACAACCACAAACCATAGCTGATCAGAATTAATTAATTTCACTCTCAGGAATAAAACTCTCACTTTTGACGATTCTGCTATCTTTTAGCTGTATTTCGTTAATTTTGAGAATCATTTCGTCCCGTGATTTCTGATGAAACGATAACTCTCAAATATATGGCGAAAATGTTTCCTTACTTGGAACATCATCGCAGTTAATTGTGGGAGATAGTTAACTTGAAGAACAAAACTAGAATGAAGACCAGACGATTGAAACTAAAATGACGACATAAGCCAATCGGTTGTATGGTGGTTAAGGAGTTAACTTCATATTAGGAAGACATCGGGTTTGAGTCCCACTTTGGGCACATAGATGTAATTTATCTCTCCATTCTATCTGTCCTTATGTTGTTGGGGACTTTGACTTATTTAACCTTGTGACTTTGATTCGCTGATATGGTGGCCACACAAAAGTGATTAACAATACCACCCGCATTTTTTTTGTGGAAGTAAAGTAGAATGACGAAAGATTTCTTTACTTTTGACGAAATTCCTGAAAAAGTGGAATATTTATTTCATCACAATGAAAAAATGTTTGCTTGGAGCCTATACTAGGAAATAGTTTAATAAAAACGAAGAAAGTTTCGCGAGATTTGAATATTCATTTTTTTACAGTATAGGGACTCTGAACACCGTAGTCAAGCTTCATTTTATGAATGCTGCTAATTTGTCTTTTTGAATTGTGTTATCTAGTTCTGAAAGGAAGATTTGTTATATCTAAGCCCATTTAACATAACTTGAAAATAATATATTTTATATTCTTATATCTTTTTATTAAATTGTGCCATTTATTTTTGCAGGTCAATTCAAAAGGGCGGCAGCAAGGTTTGAAAGAAGGTGACTGTGTGTTGTCGGTGAATGGAAAGTCAGCTTTAGATATGACGCACGCTGATGCACAGCGAGCATTAAAAGATTCTAATGATAGCTTGGAGCTTCAGCTTGAAAGGTAATTAATTGTTTAAAGATTGATTGAAATTACTTGTGCAATGAAATATGCTTTACAAAAGTATAACTTCATCAACCTGTATGTTTTATTCTGTAGTCTTTGCCACTGTTTAAATAATTAATTTATAATAATAATAATTTATTCTGACTGTTTAAAGACTATTTTTCAGAACCATCAAATTTTGAAGCAACGCCAAATTATCGTTTTGAATCAGTGGGCTCTTACTTCAAAGGAACATTCGTGTTCCGTAAATTTAGACACAGTTTTCCTCCCACACATTTGAAATTTGACTAAAATTTGACTATTCATAAGAGTTACGGGAAGGGTTTGTATGAATGCCTCACCTATAACTCCAGAACCGTTGGCGCTGGGTCTTGAACTTGCAAGTGCGCTTAAGTTGCGAGGGGCGATTTGAGTCTCCAATCTTAAAAAACGTTCAAACATTATAATTATTATGTTCAGGAGAAACGTATGAAAAACAAATACTTCGTTACATACTCTTGAAAATTAAACTAAAGATGATTTTTTTCTCACAATTATTTAAAAGAAACATCAATGATGTTCGCTAGCATACAGCTCTATTTACAACTAAAATGAGTTTCACTGAAAGTTTATACCACGTTCCTTATTTATCTATCGTAGAGATAAGTTCAAATATATTAATGTGGAAGGTATAAATGCTTGAGCAACGTCACCGAATTAGTATTTTTAAAGCTATCTGAATCTACATGTTTATTTTATATGAAGTTATGCTTTTAATGCTTGTTTTTGTAAACTTGAATAATATAAATTAAAAGGTAGTTGAAGTAAATTTTAAGTTTTGTACCAAAGTGCCACCATTTTATGAGAAAAAATGCTTGATTGGAGTAAATCTTGCCTATAATGAGTTGATTGTGATCATTAGCATAAATTTCGGGGCTGAATGACACTGCTAAAGTTCCTGAAGAGTTGAACATCTAAAAATTTGTTTTACTTAACGTTAATCTAATAACGTTAAGTTATCTAGAAGGGCATCAAATAACAATGATAAAAAATCTCAAAATATTTCAATTTTTTTAATTGTGTCAGTATTTAGTTCTACGTTTAGTTAGTCGATTTTTAGTTCCATGTAAAATACCGATTCATTAATACTAAATTTCTCTATTATTTATTTTATTTTATTATTTTTTTTTCACCGTACAAAGAATGAATTTTCAGCTATTATGTAATAAATGCACAATGATATAAAAATCCCTTAAGAATCCTTGACTTATCGTTTCAGATTTTCACTTTTTTCATTCTATTTTGAAATTTTGATTCGTTCCCCAGTGCTCGATCAAATAGAGATGAAATCCCTGGGAAAATTCTGATTTAAGAGCTCTCAAATATTAACTGAGTTCCCTGAATTATTTTTTGAAGAATACGTATAAATAATTATTACGCATATATATTTCGGCCTGACATATTTTACCTAACTATTTCTAAATGAATGACTAAGAATTAATAATAATTCAGTTAGTAAAATTTGTGTTGTTTCTACTGTTATACTTTACATGTATTTCTACTTTTATTTTAAAAGGAAAACAATACTTGCGGCTTAAATTCCGTAAATTACGAATAATTTAACTTCAACGTACTGTTGAGTCACAAAGTTTCATAAAGTAACCATTAAAATACTAAAAAAAATTTTTTTTAAAAAAGAAAAGCAAAGAAGTTGAATATAAGAAACTTGAATATTTAAAATTTATGCTGAGAGATTTTTGGGTTCAGGGCAAGTGCTACTTCTGCCCATACAATAATCAGATCCCGTAAAAGAAAATTTAATTAATTCAAGGTATTCTATGACAAATTTATAGTTTCATGCATAACCTGCTATGCATATTATATAAAAAAGCTCTAATCGCTTCTGTGATTTTTAATATACGCAAACAAATATATTTCTTTATTTTACATATGAGTTATGGAAATTTGTTTTAAAATTTCAAGTGTTTCGTACTTCTGAAAAGGTTATAAATAGTTAGTTTTAACTATTAGAGATTATATTACAATTTAAATCTAGTTTCAATGGTTCTTCAAAAAATAAAATGATGCTAATTCAAAGTATTTCTTTTTATTTTTATCACTTTTCAGGCCTTGACCTTGTTGAAAGTGACGTCACATTTATTTCATACCTTTTTAGAAGCTTACATAAAAATCGCAAATTATAACTGTGAAAAATACACCCATCTCATTGCTAGAAAACTTTGAACTGGAAACTAACCAGTCAACCACGACACTTATCGTTTTCTAACACAAAAAATAATAATAATCTACAATGAAAAAGGTTCAAAAATTTGGGAAGAATATTAGCAAATCCTTCTATTCATTAACTCCGGAAGGAACTTCAACAAATGGATGATCGAATCTATTGTGCAACATGACTGTTGAAAGCAAATATAGTATTTTGGTGTTACCTCAAAATGCTACCAACAACGCCTTCATAACTGCAAACGATTTTTAACAGATACATAATTTTGATTTGGCAACGTTTCTTACATCGTCTGTAATAAATCATATAATTTATACTTATGAACCATTTCTTTCTTTTGTTGTCAATGATTTAATGAGAGTAGGAATTGTTTGTGTGAGGTACATTTCTAGCTCTGGAAAAGAGAGAACTTTTGTTTGAAAGAAGCGCGACCGTAAAGGGATACAGAAAATACAGCGCTTGGTTGTTCTTAATTTATCTTTTGAAATGAGAGGTAGGTTTTGTAAACTCTACAGCATTGTTTATAAATTCTTTTTTTATGCTTTTCTTGTTGGCAAAACCTGTAAATCATTGTTTACTACAGCTTCTGACGACTTTATTGCTGCAATATATCGAGATAAAAGTGTATGTTTTTCAAAAGTTTTATGCTAGTGAAAGGTTTTGCTTTTACATTATTTAATGGTTGGGAAATACCTTTATTTATAAATATATTATTTAGAGTCTTTTTTTTTTGAATGAGGAAAAGTTGTAGTTGTTCGTCCTTTTTTGTATCTAGTATTATATTCAGATTTTGGATTGTTTATGTCTTATATCATATAAAGTTTTTATTATTTAAATTCATAACAATTTATTTAAATAGCGTAGTAGTATTTAAAATGTCAATACAGAATAAATGTACTTAAAAATTCAATCTTTCGTTTCAGGAGTCCATTTAATAAAAATCTATATTTTTGGTTATATGTTTCAGATAGTTAAAGAAATTACTTTAATTTTATAGTTAATTAATTAATTTAATTTTTATAGTTAAGAAATGTGATATTTCATTCCACAAAATAAAGCGCTATTTTATCCGATGGGCGAAAAAACTTAAAATTCTAATTTCAACATACATTTAATATTTCATAAAAAATTAGGAGGAAATAGAAATTGCAGCATATATGAATCCCTAAATTTCGGCATCAATGCTTGAAATACATACTTTGAAATAAATACCTGAATTACTATGAATTAGGATACAAACCAGTATAAAAGCAAATAATGCAAATGATATTTAATTAAAAAGCTTTGTGTAATGTAATGATCAGCCTAATTATTTTTCAAAATTTACAGTTTTGCGACCAATTGTTTATTAGTATTGTTTCTAGATTTGTAATTTATAATTTTTCAGAATATCAACTAGATAACAATAGAATACGCAACATTGTATAGTTTTTGCATAAAATTATCGCCATTTTTAACTGAAACGCTCTCTTTAAAAATTTAAAAATGTGGTATCTTCTCTTAATCTAATGTTAAAGACTTGGCAGAATAAATTAATGTTTTATATTAAAACTGGCCTAAAGTTTTGCTAAATTTGGAAATTTGAATGTTAGGAAANTCAGATAGTTAAAGAAATTACTTTTAATGTGATATTTCATTCCACAAAATAAAGCGCTATTTTATCCGAAGGGCGAAAAAACTTAAAATTCTAATTTCAACATACATTTATTATTTCATAAAAAATTAGGAGGAAATAGAAATTGCAGCATATATGAATCCCTAAATTTCGGCATCAATGCTTGAAATACATACTTTGAAATAAATACCTGAATTACTATGAATTAGGATACAAACCAGTGTAAAAGCAAATAAAAGCTTTGTGTATTGTAATGATAAGCCTAATTATTTTTCAAAATTTACAGTTTTGCGACCAATTGTTTATTAGTATTGTTTCTAGATTTGTAATTTATAATTTTTCAGAATATCAACTAGATAACAATAGAATACGCAACATTGTATAGTTTTTGCATAAAATTATCGCCATTTTTAACTGAAACGCTCTCTTTAAAAATTTAAAAATGTGGTATCTTCTCTTAATCTAATGTTAAAGACTTGGCAGAATAAATTAATGTTTTATATTAAAACTGGCCTAAAGTTTTGCTAAATTTGGAAATTTGAATGTTAGGAAAAATATCGCTTACATATACCTTGCACGCAGCACTTCGAATACCTTGCTGTATACGGAAATATACAGGCGCAATTATAAATTTTTTGAAATGGATTAAAACATGTTTTGTGAACATCATTTAAAGTTAATGTAATTGTGACCAGAACTCTTTATATCGTCATTCATCATAAAGTAGGAAAACAAACTTAAAAGGCTATGATATTATATTTTGGAAATGTAGACATGTTCTATTTTTATGAAAAAGAATAATTTCAAAAGTAAAATAAAATATCAAAATTATCTTAGCTCATGTAATAATTTAGCCCTTTATTATTTTTTTTTTGTAGTTCGTAGTTTATGATATAAGACTAATGGACCCCATGGTGCAACTAACACGTTAATTAATATATTTTTGTTAATTATTTAAATTATGTCACTCGTGAATCAGTGACTTATAAAAAACAACTAATTGAAACACTACTAATTATTGAGAATCAAGTTCTTAAAATACTTGAAAATATATTGAAAAATACTGTATCCCAATCGGTAGAAAAAATCTGGTAAAAATATTGTACAGTATAGTAACGAAATTTCTTGTAAAAAAACCCATAATTCTGGTAATAAAACCAAAATATATATTTATAAACTATTCATTTAGTTGGTAATTTTTCCGGTAATATGGTAGTAATTTACCGNATATTGAAAAATACTGTATCCCAATCGGTAGAAAAAATCTGGTAAAAATATTGTACAGTATAGTAACGAAATTTCTTGTAAAAAAAACCCATAATTCTGGTAATAAAACCAAAATATATATTTATAAACTATTCATTTAGTTGGTAATTTTTCCGGTAATATGGTAGTAATTTACCGGAAATCCTGGTTTTCAAAAGTATAAATCTTATTACCAAACATTTAGTAAAAAATACAAAACTGAAATCAAATTTAATCGAATAAATGGTTTTCACAAAGGCAACATATACTCAATACAATAATGATAAAATTTCTTAATTCTGCTACATATACCAAATTTTAGCACGTATTACACTACCATATTTTATGGTTAATTTAACCAAAATCATTACCAAAGCGCTTCTGTAAAAATTACCGAGCTTTCTTGTGTTCCCATTGAGTCAGAAACACGATAAAATTAACCATATTCAGGTAGTTTTGATTATATTTTTTTCTCAGAGTGGAAAGATGTTGCTAGCATTTTAATGGGTTTTTAAGTGTTTTTCTGCCTGAAATAGGAGATTTTCCATAAAAGTTGTCCTTGCTTGATTTAGATTTTTGGTAGGATTTTTTTTATTTTTTAGCTGAATACTTTTTTTTCTTTACTTTTTGTTACTCGTTATCATCAGCACTGGTTATTTTGAGATTAATCACTAACTATTCCTCCAAACTGGTATGATATGAATTTGAGCTTGCCATGAGCTATATAAAAATTATTTCTGTTCTATATTATTAGGAACATCGTTATTCCAGAAACTAATAGAAATGGTGCGAATCAGAACGGTCGAACTGAAGAAGATAATAATGTGACTTCTCATTTGAATGCCTTGGATGAATACATGAATCAATTAGGTCAGTCAAAAATTATTTAATTTTTTAATTTGTTTTTAGAATGGGTATTGCTTTGTGAAATAATAAGTTGTTGACAAATATTTCATACATTTAACTATACAATTTAACTTTTTTTTTCTTTTAATAAAAGAACATGTTAGGGTTTGTTTGTGGAAGAACATGTTCTGCTTATCAAAAATATATAAGTAAAAAAATGAAAAAAAGCTTAGAAGAATATGTTAAGAAGTGATGTTCCGAAGAGAGACACTGCTAACATACCTCGCAATTAAATCGTATGTCAGACTGTGTGTCGATAATTTGAAACTGGCATTTTGCTTCCTAATATTTTACCTTAGTAAATATGTATTAATGTTTTAAGTGTAGTAGTAAGTACTACTCCTCTATAATAATTTATTTGTAAGCGTTTTTAAATGAATTTAGTTTCACACTAGTTAATTTGTTATTTTTAAAGTTCTGCTCATAAAAGTAATCCTTTTATTTCGTTGTTTCCGATTCTTTAACTTAGTTTAAATGAAATGAAATTACTAGCTATTATTTTCAACTAATGATTTTTAGTTATTAACTCTTAATAATGACTAGTTACTATCTTTGTTTCTACTTGCTTTGTATCTAGTGCTGGAATTAATTATTGATGGTTATCAAAATGTATTTCCTAGCAGGGAGCAATATGTCCAGAGGCCAGGGGGGGGGCACTATTTATTGAAAATGAAGGACTTAGGTGTCAACCTTTTAATTATATCAACAAAACTTTTGGAATAAAATTTTCGGAAATTTTGGACCAAAGATATAAATTAGAAAAGCAAAATATTTAAATTTAAAGTTTATGTTACAATATATTACAGTTACGTAAAAAACCCAGTATTAAAATATTTATTACTTTCATAGACAACATTTGTGCTCCAGTTGTGTATTTTTTCCATGGACTTAGCACGAATCAAGGAAACGTTTGATTTTTTTCCATGAATGTCCATACACGTATATTTTACTGCAGTTTTTGTAAATTTCAAGGCGGCTTTCCAGTGACTGTAGCCACTAATGTTTCAAATCATTTATCGACTGCAACTTGACAGATGCTTCAAGGTGCCCAAGTTTTAAATTATAAATTTAAGTGAAGACTTTTATAGCTAATTTTTTTTTAATGTACCATTCAATTTTGAAAGATTATTTAAAAACTGAACAACTTCTAAATCATAAAATGACTTGATACTCGAATGTTACACGATAGTTCGTATAATTTTAATTTTAAACTATAATGTCAAAACTATACTATAAATTAAATTTAAATGCTATTTAATTTATAAAAAATTATTTGTGAAATAAATAAATTCTAAATAATTGAATTACTTGATACCCAAATATTTTACCACAGTTCGTGTAATTTTAGTAAGTACTTCAGCATCGAGTTTTAAACAATGAAGTAGGAACTTAGCTAATGAAATATTTTACTTTTTAAAAATTACTTTAAAATTAAACAACTTTTCAATTATTAAATGACTTGATACAGAAATATTTAACTATAGTTCGTATAATTTCAGTGAGCACTTCGAGTACACTGAGTTTTAATTATGCCAATAAAATTACATTTATATACCATTTAATCATTATATACATTATAATTTTAAAACAAAACAACTTCTTAATAATTAAATTGCTTGATGCACTAATATTTCTGATTTTATTGCTACTGCGTGTTATTTTAATAAGTGCATCACGTACGCTGACTTTATTAATAAAAATATAATAATTTTATTAGTAAAATTAATTTTTTACTAGTAACACAGAGAATACTAATAAAAGTATATAAAATACACTAAAAAATTTGTATTGGAATACCGTTTCGTTTCTTACAGATTCCTGAAGTATTAGAACGAAAGTATTTCTTTAATTGCATTTAAATAAATTTCAATTTATATCCTTTAAAGAAAAACAGTGGAACAAAGTCATTTTTGTCTTACGTTATCCTTAATGACATAATTCTTTAACCGTTCCGTAAACTAGACACGTAGTTCTACGAATTTTCGTAAGTAATGGGGAATTAAAATATTGATGTGGCTGATCTCAATATAAATGAAACTATTAATTAAATTTATTTCATTTTTACTTGTCAATATTCTAATAAAAACTGAAGGAACGATAATTTACATCCGCGGCGCAGTGCCAGAATTACATTGTTTCGAATTAAGTTTCTAATTTTAAACTTTTTATCCATTGTGTACGACTACTTTGTAACTGATTGATGAAGAGAAGGGGAAAAAAACTGTCTCTGAATTTTTAAAATTTTTTCTACTTAATTCGTTAATAACGAAACGACTATTTTGAGAGGTGTTTAATTTTAACTAACAGCAATTTAGTGGACTCGATATTATTTAATGGGAAAGTCATAAGTTGATGTATCGTGATAAAAATATATGTATAATGACAGTTGAAATGCTTTAACTATTTTTAAAGCTAGGTTGAGTTAAAATCTGTTGCTAACATCGCTTAGAATTTTACAGTAAGTAATAGTGTTGCTGTCTCGTTTTATGATTAAATGTTTAATTATTAATATGAAAGTTATAAAATCTAAAAATATAGAAGGGAAATTTTTTACTTTGAGTTTCAATTTTCTGCTGAAGTGCTAAACTTTTATATATTATTACTATTGTTTTACTTTTAGATGTATATATGTCTAGGGTTTTTAAGAAATTCGAAAACATTGACAATAATTCCTTCTCTTTTCTAGTGTTAAGTGATTATTCAAAAAGTGTACTGTGTTCGAAAAGTGATGATTTTAATTCCTTCATCTTTCTAGTGTTAAGTAATTATTAAAAAAAAGTGTTAATCCCTGTTTTTTAATGTTAAATAATTAATCCTGAGTTAAGTAAATAATCAAATAAATGTATTTGTAGTTGTAGAATATCTTTCAAAGCTTCTAATTTCTTGTCTTTTTCCATGGCTTCAGCTGAGGGATTATATCCCCAATGCTAAAAGCTGCTGCTCTTTTTTCGTACGGATTTCACTTAACTTTTTTATATTGCTATTAAAGACTTTAACTTTTTTATATCTTTTATATATTGCCCCAGCGATTAAAGAGGCGGAAAAAAATCGGGAAATTACTTACGGAGTTACACTTTATTTCTGAAAAATTCCGGTTAAGAAAATGGAAAATATTTAGTGTCTAAGAGTTAGGAAACACTTTGCAGAGTTATACTTTATTTCTGTAAAATTAATATTACAGAGGTGAATGAAGTATATGAATAAAAATAGGAAAGTAGTTAATATTTCAATTCTGCGAAATTTCTGAGTTTTTTGTGAATACTTTTTTGTATTTTCACAAAAAATTTCCGTTCTTAATTCTCTGTAATTTTTTTCAGACTCTTGATAAATGACATCCAGTAGTCTTATATGAAAATTCTTATCAGCATTTAAACACAATGTTTTCTCAGTTTTCTTTTCGAATGAATTTCTATGGTCACGAATGCTATTCATTACGCTTTCAAGAACTTCTAAGTCTTTATTTCATGGAATTATTCTTAATCATTCAACCTGTCAAAAAAGCACCTGCTGACAATTTGGCAATAAATTTCATGGTGCACTGGCAAAAGCTGTGCTCCTTCTCCATCCTACACAAATACGCTTTTGTGTATCGCTTTTTGGAATGATCATCTTGGAGAACTAAAGTTTGCCTGAAAATAACGGACTTTTTCTTGGCGTGTTTTGTTTTTGTGTACTAAAATCAGTTGTACGTAATTGCATCTTATTTTATTATTAAAATGTGTAAAGGTTTTAACGGAATAAATTGGTGTACTACGCTTAAATTGCTGGCAAATTGATTTTTTTGCATTCATATTTTTATTTTGCATTAGATATGTAATTAAGAATAAAATACTGTGAAAGAAGTGACTTTTAACTCCTTAATGACTACATCACAATTTTTAAATATTTTTTTTGTATTAATTACAAAAAATCATGAAATAACTAGACAAAAAAAAGCATCCTGTCTAAATGCAAATATTTATACAAGATGTTATTTTTGAAATTTTTTAAATTTTTTTTAAAAATTTTGGTTTAAAATTTGAGAAATCAATTATCAATGCAAAATGCAAAAAAAGGACTATTAAATTTAAAAACTATGCGATATTTCTAAAAAAGTTTTCTTGCGTTTTATTTGTTACCGTTAATGAATGAAATGCCAACTTTCTACAAAATGGCTGGTTATTCTATGGAATGTCTAACATATTTTATGCGTTACATATGAAATATGAGTGCCATTTTGTACTTAGCCTATAGTATGCTTGTTGAATTTTCAACAGTTATTCTATAGAACAACTATGAAATGTTTGAGATATTAATAGTTTCATACTTTGCTGGTTTGTCATTATATTAATTCTATAGAATGGCTTGGCAATGTGTGAAATATTAATCAATTCATATTTTGCGATAGATTTTATGCATTATATTGAATTTGATTATTGAATTATTCTTTAGAATTCTATAATTACTCGGAATTTTTTAAAATGCCAGATTTTATACACCGACAACAAAATATGTACTAAAGTATTTACTGAATAAATATAACGAAAATAATAAATATTTTTTGTTGTTTTGTTAACGTAACTGGTATTGTGTGTCATGACATGTTATAAATAAGGCGCGATTTTATTTTTATTTTTAAATTTTCTATTTTATCTTCAAAGTCGAACTTATCGAATCTCAAAAAACCCCGTTTTAAAGCATTGTAATCATTGGCGTAGTGTCATGAGGTTGGGACACTTTCTCCTAACTATAATTTGACAAAATTTCAGAATTTTTGAAACCACAAGGAACTAAATGTTTTAGATGTTAATGTTCAAGAAAATTGTATGATTATCACTTTCGTGTACGTTAAATTTGAAAAAATATTTAATGCTTTTTATTGAACGGTTTTAATATACAATTACTATTTAACAATTATATTTATGAGTTACTGTGTGAAATTAATGAAACAAAAGTAACGTTTTGTAATTATAATAAATTTTTCCAACTTAGTTTAATAATTTTCTTTTTTTTATTATGTATGATATTATTTTTTTATTTTGTAATGTATGCGTTCACGGAAACAATATCCTGTTTGAATTTGAAATTTATTTTCTCATTTGTTTAAGGTTTAAATGCCTGTGGAAATTTTAATAGAGAACTATTTTTAATATCTTTTTTCCCTGTGTACCTCTTATACAGTGTTCTGAGTTTGAAAAATCTATGATTAGAGATAAGTGCATGATATCTTATTTTATTACCGGCGTTGAACTGCTGATCTAATTCTGAGTTAACGACTATCAATGTTCAACTTCGTTGCCTTGGAATTTTGAACCCAACCCTGAAGACCAGAGAGCTCCTGGATTTGCGACAAATTAGTGGAGGATTACTTGAGGGAGGATTACTTGATGGAACTTCGTGGAGGATTACTTGATGGAACAAAACCCACATTTTCGTTACATAGAGAGGAAAACCACCTAGCATTTTCCACGGTTAGCCAGACGGTAAGGGGATTCTAACAGATTCTAACTACAGCTGAGGATATTTCACGTCAGAACTGTGAACAGTGAGAATTTGTATCGACAGGCTACAGCTAGGATTCGAACCTGGTTCACTTCATTAGAAGGCGAACGCTCTATCTCTTCAGCCATAACGGCTCAATAATGCGTGACATATTGTTTGACTTAAAGTTTTTCTATCTATTTTTTGGGTAAAAAAAGCTGCGTCCACCTCTCCCACAATTTATTTTTAATATTACGACTTCTTTGATTTTTTAAAAAGATCGAAGATGGAAGCAAAAAAAAATTGTAATTTCAATTCTACATTTTTAAGAAATCAATGTAAAAATGAGTCATTTTAACATAAACTGGATCGGATATGTAATAATGTGTTTTCTTGTAACGTATAATATTGCATTAATCCAAAAATTACTTTATTCGTATCATCTAACATTGGTTTTAAAATGGAGCAATTAAGTTTCAAAGTATGATTTGTTAGTAAATCATGCATTCAAAAACATCTTGCGTTTAAATTGAGTGTATTAATATAATCAAAACATTTTTTTTAGATGTTAATTCTTGGTCGACTGATTCGACGAGTACTGGATCAACAACGATACATGTCAGTTCTTTAAATTCAGACGAACTATCAAGTTCTGATGGAGGTATGAAAAAAAATATTATGCATATATATTTTCAAATTATTGCTTAAAAGTATAAATGTGTTATGAAATTAAATTAAATATTTTATTCCCTTAAATATGTGTTTACGGAAATTAGTATTTCTCTTGTTTAACAAATATATCAAATGAATTCAATATATTTTAAGAAAAGTAGTCTTAATATTTTTGTATAATATATCTGAGTTTTGCAAAGATATGTAGCTGGAAATATATACATGGATAGGTAATATATACATTGTATTATATAGGTAATGTATGCATGGATTACTTTGTTATAGAGTACAAAACAAACTGATTATTTGTATTTATTCAATTTTGGTACACAGTAAAAAATTCCAGATTGCTGTAAAAAGTACCGTCACTCGGGGTGTCGATATTTTTTATTGTAAAATTCACTTTTCCGGAACATGTTTCTGTACAAAAATCTGATATACAGCAATTCTTAAATTAATAAATGCTAAATTACCATAAAATCACTGAATTAAAATAAATATTACTGTAAAAATTATTGCATAATATTTTACGGTAAAAATGGATTTTACGGATGATGCACACAAAATATCTGTACTCTGTACCATAATTAAATCCAGATTTTTTTACTATAAACAAGTAATAATTTCACAATTATAAGTTTATTGTCCTATTATCAAACTGGTTTCGCTAATAACTCCTGCATCCTCTTGATAAAAAGCTGCTCTATAAGCAATCTTTATTTGGAATTAAAAAGTTTGCTTGCAACGAGCTAAAAACTATTTTAGAGTTATGAAAATCGACAAAAGATGGAGCTTCTTTCAATATTGATTTAGAATCTTGGATTATAGTGTCTCGATAAGACAAAATATCTTATGAACTCAAAATATTGTAGAAATAAGATATAAGAACTTATTATTTACTATAGCTAGTTGACTGCTGAATTCTATTTCGTTAGATCTTTATACTCTATTCTAAATAAAAAATCAGTTAAAGTTGAACCATATTATTAGTATCGTGAATATTTATGCCGTGCATAGTTGTTAAAATCTTAATAAGGTGTTGAATTTAACTATGTGTTCGTTAGAATTGAGCGATTATTAAAGTGTATAGAGATTAAGAAGGATTAAGAGCTCTTTAATGATTTTGGTAAAATTAATAATAAAATATGATTTTAAAATATGTAATAAAATTTGGTATTTTTATATTGATACCTTAGAGAATGGCATAAAATTTTTTTTTGATTAAATATATTTGTCAGTTTTGTTCTTTTTACTAAATGTGTGGTAATTAGAACTATAATTTTTAAAGTCAGAATTTCCGGTAAACCGATACCATATGAACGGAAAAATTAACAAATAAACGGTTTAAATACCGCATTTTGCTTTTAATCTCGAGATTGTTTTCTTTTACCAGAAATGCTATAACCATACAGTTCGTCAATTTCACCACAATTTTTATCTCCGTATACCATTAGAAATATAGACTTGACAATTAATAACTTTGATTTGAATGATATACATGATTTTGTACATTATTCAGCTAAATGGTACAATTTTTACATTAATGACTCCTATTTATGTTATTTGAATGTTATTTATATTATTATGTATAATTATGTTATTTATATGTAATTTAATGAAAGCGAGTAAATTACATATTAATGCTTAGGTTTTTTGAAATATAGTATGTCTCTTAAACGTAAGCATTAAACTTAAACACACTTGTTAATAACTGCAAAATTTAGATTTCTTTTTGAAACAATGCTTAAGGTAAGCGATACTTTGGCTGTTGCGATAACAAAGCACGAGAAAAAAAATCACTAAAGTCATATTTTATGCGTCTATATTTTCTATGAAACTTTTGTCAAATTAAACAAATCTTAACGTGCAGTCATTTTACAAAAAGTAATAATTAGAAATGTAAGAAAGTAAATTTTCTTGAATTTATAAATTCAGAGAAAGTCCTTATATTATATTTATATAAATTTTCTAAAGTATATCTTCCAAAGCATCTAATCTGTTTCGTTCTAAAATAAAAACTATGTTTGTTTTTCTTTCAACGGCTGAAGTAAATAATAACCTATACTCTATTCCCGATTTGGGAGAAAATAAGTAGGCGGATGATACAAAGCAGGATTTCCCGCTTTTGCTCCAGATTTAAACTATTTTTAGACCCAAGAAAGAAAAATATTTACGCGCAATTTCATCTTTAAAGGAAAAATATATAATTTTAAGTAATGAATTTATGAATCTTAAATAAACTCGTATATTTTTTAAAATAAACTTGATTTGTACAACAATGGAATATAAGTAAAACTGAAAGCATTTAGTTTTGAGTTTTTTTCCATATTTTTAAATATGTTGGTAACAATTATATTGTCTGTTTTATTTTTTGAATTTCTCTTTTGCGCATTTTGTGATAGTCTTTTAGCATACTGTGGTTATTTAAAACAACATATTAATTTTGTTGTTGAATTACGTTCCCTTAAATAATTACACACCACTCAAAAATATCAGTCTAGTTTATTTCAGTGCATTTGCATTTGTATTGTTTGGTGACTAGGTTTGGTTTACACCCAACTATTTTTTGATCTTGAAATTAGCTTATTCTAAGCATTTACTACAAATCAGAATTCACTTAAATTTGTTTAGAGTTGGAGTGAGTATAAATATTTCTGAATTCAAAATTTTGTCACTGATGTTTATTATTTTTTTAAATTTCTGATAAAAGGACTTTCTTATATTTTAATAAAGTTTAGAAATTTCTGCAGAGAGCAAAATAGCTATTGAATTACCTGAATAACTTTTGATCAATTTATTATACTGTCCTTTTAAAAAATAAAGGATTTTGCCAGTTTCTTCTGGTCTGCTGGTTTAATTAAAATTCTCCTGGTTTTGTACGTTTTAGAAAATCCCCTAAAATTGAGTAAGTTATCTTAAAAAATTTCTACTTAAATGGAGTTTTTGTGCAAATTATTGCTTGATTGCTAGAATATCTAAATAAGTATTACTAATACATAATGAAGCGAACCTCATTTATAGAAATCAGTTCAAAACTTTAACTTTTTTATTCTAAAATGTTCAGTTTGCTTTTATTCAAAACTCTCTTTTTAAATTAATTAAAAAAGTCTTTTAACCATCTTTGATGAATTAAATGCTCATTAATATTCGAGATTATGAGTAACATAATACATAACGTTGCAAGTATGTTTATTGTCAATCATAATTGGAAAATATTGTAGTTTTTCTATTTTGATGACTGTGAAAGTCCCTAAAATTCCCCTATGTGTAAAATATTTAGTACATTATGCAACAATAATCATGAAATTTATATTATTTCGTAAAACTTACTGTATTTTTTCCTATCCATGTGGACAGCTATGAGTGTATAGCAAATAAAGACAAAAAACTTATTTTTTCTTTAAAAAAAACACCTTTTTCTTTTCCCATTTTTGCGTACACACAGGTACGATTAAAATAGATCTGCATAGATCGACACATGCAAACTATTTCATACAAAATATTACAATTGCACGCAATTTTTTTAGAATTAACAAATGTTATTGATGAAAACTGTGAAATAATTTTGATAATTAAAAAGTGAGATTTTTGAATTAAAATGTTATTGTTAACTTAACTGATTTTTTAAAAAACGATTTAAATGTTTATTTATTAAATTTATAACAGAAAAATAATTTTAACTACTCATTTAAAGTTATGTTTCATAAATTTTCATCCTCTTTATTGATATGGATCAATTCTCAATGAGCATATGACTCATCGCATTACTTAAAAATCGTTGTTTTAAAGAATTTTCAGCAATAAAGACAATAATAATGCATTTAAGCTAATTAAAAATATTTCTCTTTTTTATCATCTTCTAAAATGTTTACAAGATTAATTACTTCCGTTATTACGAACTTTAATATGCGTTTTTAGATTTCTTGTCAAAAATGAAATTAAAAAGTTATTCATATTAGGGTAGCAAATAAATATTTCAGTTAGGAAAAACAAAAGCAGTTTTGAAATTCTAAAATTTACTCCAGTGTGCGCGTAATTGAAAACCTCAAAAACTTTTTGATCAACGAGGAAAACCGAGAGAATTTGAAATTGTTTGTAGCATTATTTGTTTCATCAGGCAATCAAACTGGTTATGTTATTCTTAGCCCTTCTCAGCTGAAATTCCTATAATTTGATAGAATTTTTTTTAAATTCCTCACTTCAATGCTAATTTTCGATCTCCAATACATTTTAATCAAGAATTCTAAAAATACATATTTATGCCGCCATTTTTTAACGTCATATTTTGAATCATTTGTTAAAAAAATTATGAGTAACAATGGGTTTTGAGGTCAGGATATGGCTTTAAAAGGGTATTCAACAAGGTATTTTTATCAGGGTATGGAGTTGTCCTTTGTAACAAACTAATTAATAACGCTCAATTATGAAATTTAACGCCCATTTATGTTTTTCAACTAACCTCGATGATTGTTTTCAAGTCTGGTCTTTTTTGTATTGTTCCTATAAATGTGCACTTGTATTCTGAATCTTTTGCATTATCTTAGATGACCCCTTCGGGGGCGGATAGAGTTAGGCTTAGTACATATCTTGAATTCAAAAAATTTATGTTCTTTAAAATGATTTTTGTAATTTCGGTAAAATAAAGCAACAAGAGTCACGGTGGTTCAGAGAGTTTTCATCTCTCGAAAAGATGATCTAGGTTTGAATCTCAACGATGGCTGGTCGGTAAGAATTCTGCTACCGACTCGCACCGAAGGCAGTGCTGACTTAAAGTGTCCTCAGTGGTAGACGGATCGTCGGTTACAGGGGTCTGTTTAGAAGAAATTTGGGTCCGTTAACGGACCCTTCACAAAATATCTTTTCATGAAAGCGGACCCTTCACAAAATATTTTAACTTAAAAACGGACCCTTCACAAAATAATTTATTTTTTAAGCGGACCCTTCACAAATTTGTTATTCTTCATTATATTTTTGTTAATCGAATAAACC